TCTGTCTCTCATCTTGTGACTCATGTATGCGTAAGATGCTGAATGTATCCTCAAGTGCATTTTCCCAGACATTAAATGTAAACCCGAGGTTTAAACTTTAAACTTGAAGGTGCAATGACAAAGAAGTACCACACGATGGTGCCCAAAGTCTATAGAAAGTGAGGGAGTTGTCTTGTTCCCATATGTGGGTGGAATTTCCATTAATGAGTTTGGAAAAGGACGAACCACACAAAAATGATGAGCATTGTGTGTGGATATACACACAGGGGCAGAAACACGTTTACAGACTTTGTAAGCATTTTTATGTGCACTAGGAAATCTATAGGGGAGTCTTTTGTGTGCTGCTGGGGAAGTGGAAGGAAAGCTAGTTCTCCAGTTTGGGAGAATAAAGATGGCTGTTTAAATGATCTGTTATCACCCCTTTTATGGAGAAATATTATAGGGATATTGAAAATGTCTAGGTCTGTATGCTCGATGCAGACAGGATAGTAGAATACACTCACATGGGACTCCAATAGCTTTTTACCTTCCTCCCTCCCCATTTCTTCTCTTTTTATCCTTACAAGAGTCTCATTATATAGCCCAGGACAGCCTCTAATTTATAATCCTCTGCCTCCAAATCCCTAGTGCAGTCTCTACAGGTATGTTCCATACCATGCACTGTTAGTTTTCTTTTCATTTATTATTATTTTATGGGTATGAGTGTTTTGCCTGCATATATCTTTGCACCTTTTGTGTGCCTGGTGCCCATGGAGGCCAGAAGAGGGCACCAGATCCCCTGGAACTGGAATTACAGACAGTTAGGAGCCCACTATGTGGGTGCTGGGAATGGAACCTGGTCCTCTGGAAAAGCAGACTGCTGAGTCATCTCTGGCCCTGATTAGATTTCTCATTCCTGAGTGCCTAGGTAAAAACATAACAAATAATTGTAAGTTATCAGTTTCATTTTAGTGTGAGGCATGTGGCTAAACTAGGTACAATATACTTACCCCAGGCCCCTAAAAAGACTTTTTTCTTATAATAATGATCATGCAGTCTTGTTATTGGGCAGGGCCTATGAGTTTTCATGACATAATGGACTTTAGATGGAAACAGCCTACTTCTGGGACTTTTGAGAATAGACACGAGCATCTCTTAGTCTCTTACTATTTTTCCTAGAGCCTAATGATAGAACCATGAACTGTCATTGATGTGAACTCAGAGGGTGACACACACCGCCGGGAATGGGAATATTGTGTATTTTCTGAGTCTTTGTCTCCCTTATACTGTTTTATTTTGAAGTATTTTACAAAATCCTGACTATAATCAAGCAAGGATGCTATTGGTGGCTCATATCTGTCTACCCGGGCATATTTAATTGAGAGTCCTACTGAAGAGATTACTGGTGTTGAGGCTCTTATTTATGAGGGTCTTTTGAAAATAGGATGCAGGCTGAAGTTTTCCCTTCAGTTCCCCCAAATGCTTCACCTTTGAGAGAGCCTTTGCCAGTTTGGATGATGTCCCAAATTTAGAACTACTGGTGAGGTAGATTTGAAATTATCATAAAACAGCTCCACATTTTGTACAGGTGGTTAAAATGGTAAACAAAGGTGCTAATTATGTAACAGAATCCTACAGAACGAATACACACAGGATTGTAAAGAAAAAGGTTTAAAAGGACTGGTTGGCCTTATTTTCAGTTAAGGAGTTATGTGTGTATGGTGCTTTGGGCTATGAACTTTCATGTATATTTTTTTCCTAAAAGATAAGGGCTGTCTAGCATCAAGTATCAAGTTTTTAAATTTTGAAAAATAAATAGCAACACTTTTCTGTGTGAACATCAAGTCTCAGGCCATCAGAGCAAGCATTTGGTGGTGAGTGTTTTGAATCATCAAAGGTATTTTAAAAGCCCCCGATGCTTTCTTGAAAAGGAAATATTATAACTTTTAAAATGATCTAGGAAGAAAGGCTTTGGGTAGCTGGCTCAATGGTGATGTAATATTAACGAGCTCACTCTCTGCCATGGAACACACGTATTGTCACCCTGACTGACTTGACTCTTTTCACACCGATGTTCTACTTTCATACCTTAACAGCATCAAGGGAAGGAGGCTGCCTCAGAAATCCCTGCAGAATGTTACAGCTGGCTGTGGCGTTGGTATTTGGCTTTGTCTTTTCTGGGCGGTGGTTCTTGGGGCAACTGTGAAGTACCTTAGTTCTCAGCAGATGAAGAGTCTGGAGGAGCTGTGCGGGCTAGCTGTTGCATTTTTTATGGGCTGAGTATAACAGCATTCATGGTGTGTTGACCCACTTTATTTCCAGAGGTCACTCTCTTATGAGCCTGCATTGTTGGTCCATAGACTGTTGGCCTATCAGTGCTGGAAGTTCACCTATTCCTGTATGCACATGCTTTAGAAGTATATGTCAGGAGAGTATGACCTTTAGGTGAGGATGTTACAGTTTTATTCTGTGTTTTATATCATCCAGGAAAACCAGTTACATTTACAAATTAAAATAACATTATCAAACCATCAAAATTTCACTTTGGTAGCTAAAGAGAGAATGTGGATTTATGTACAAACAAACAAACAAACAAAAAGACAAAACACTAGAAAAAATGTGGTTTTCCCCTTCCCTTATAAAGTGACTCTACAGTCATGTTCCATGTTTTAAGATTAGAGCCCCGAACCCTGAGGACTTATATTCACATCCCTGCCCTCAGTGATTCCTCACCAGAGCAAGCCTACTTCCCAAAAGGTGATTAGGAAATGTTCTGAGAGTGGCTGGTATTCTGTAGGATCAAAGCCTTAAGTAAAATTCAAGCTTCGCTGTGCTAAAAGTCTGAACTAGGCTTACTTTTGGACATGAATTATTTAAGGCAGTGGCTCAGTGTTTAAGAGCACTGGCTGGGTCTTCCAGAGGACCCAGGTTTAATTCCCAGCACTCACATGGTGACTCACAGTGATCTGTCACTCCAGTTCCAAGAGATCTAACTCCCTCTTGTGGTTTCCTTGGGCACAGGGCACACACATGGTGTATAGATACACATGCAGGCAAAAACAAAAAACCCATCCCCATAAAAATATAAAATAAAATTTAAAGCATATTATTTGAGAGGTCTACACAAATAAGTAGACCAAATAAGTATTACAAGGTCTACCATAGTAGACACAAATCAGATAGAAAGTTAACAGTGTCCCATGTTATGTTTAGCATTCTGGATAATTTGTGTATGATACAATGAGAAAACAGTAAGAAAAGCATAAAACCCAATTATACACATTTTGAAAATACATTCTTCCTTTTTCTTTTTCTTCTTGACTTTAATGTAGTGGGGCTGGCAAGATAGCTCGTGATGTAAGAGTGCTCGACCTCCAAACAGAAAGATCTAATCCCAAATTCCAGTATCCAGGTAAAAAGCTGGTCATGGATGCACTTGCCTATGACCCTAGCACTGGGTAGACACAGACAAATCCTCAGAGTTTGCTGTCCACCCAGCCTAATGGAGGGGACATTTCCACTTCAGTGAGAGACCTCAAGGCAACAAGGTGGAAAGTAATAGAGAACACTCAGTGTCCTGCTTTGACCTTCCCATACACTGCACACGCACGCACGTACATACACATATGCTCATGCACACACACCACTACCTTATATCAAGTAACCAGTGGGTGGTTTATATTATGGGTGGGGTTTGTCATTGTGAAATAATCCTGGATGGCTACTTCTTGCCTGAGGTCCCCACGTCCTAGATTTGTCACCCTGTATTACTGCCACCTTTTTGCTCTGCTTTGTACCTCAGACTTCCTAGGATCTTTCCATTTCCTGCTAAAGGACTGCTGCCCTCCCAAGTCTTTTACTTATGCAAGACAAGTCCTGCTTAGGTACCACTCTCCGAGCCGAGCTTTTAAGCAGAAAGCCTTTACTGTGTAATTCTTGCAACCTGAGAAGCTCCAAAAACCAGGGAGTTTTATAATTCATACGGATGGGAAAATTGGCCTGAACTGATCTGAGGTTAATTGTAATGTTTACTTATTCTGTCATACATGAATATGCATATTTTATTACAGAAATGTTAGTGTTTCTGATTAGGGTTATTGCTCCAGATCTTGCAGGATATGTCATGCCAGTCATTTATGGTATAAATGGAGTGTCACCTTCCAGAAATACAAAAATATTGGCATCTGGAATGCATCACAAACTAAATGTTTTGTAAAAACTAATTGAATACATACCAAAGTTTTTGATTCCTTGATTTTTGTTTTATGTGTATGCCTGAATATCTTCATGTATATATGAATACTATGTGTATGTTTGGTGCCCTTGGAATCCAGAAGAGGGTATCTTAGGATTGAAGTTACAGAAGGGTGTGAGCCACCACATGAATGCTGAGAGTGGAAGGCGGGTCTTCTGCAGCAGTGGCACATGCTGTTAACCTCTGAGCCGTCTCCCCAGTTTCATAATTTTAACTATTATCTTATTGCTAGGGTTCTTTGTTTGCAGTAGCAACTGCAAATGGATATTTAGGCACAGCCGTCCATGTACTATTTTGTAAGATGACACCTGTGTCTGTATCTGGGGGAGAAAGGGGCAGGGAAGAAAGGGAGGGGGAGAAAGAAAGAAATACAAGGTTATTGAATAGTTGGGAAGTTGTCATGGTCTCATGACACATTCAGCTATTGCCTTAGAGTCTTCACAAAATAAATGGAATTTAAGAGGCAAAAGTAACTGTAAAAGGTGATAGTGCCTGGGTATGTGCATTCATACACATGCTGGGTATATGTCTACTCAATATATGCCTGTATGCTGTTTCCACGAAAAGAGTTACCAGTGTGTAAGGAGTCAACCCTGCATCTAGAGACAGAGTGAGGAACCCCAGTGGGAATGCCTTGTTGGATGTTGCTCCAAAATGCTGTCATGCAAATGAGTGTTACACCTAGTGCTCATTTTTACACAGGTGTTTTAGACTGCACATACTGTTAAGAGCATCCTGGAGGCAGTCACATTGCTAGCACTGATTCAGTCCTTCACAGATTCTCAAGTCAAATACGGCTTTACTGCTAGCATCCTGATCTGCTCCACTCTTACAGACTCAGTGAGAACCTAAAACCTGGTTTAAAAACTGCAACAGAACCTGAAGTGTGTCCTTTGTGAATGCAGCCCGTTAGGAACTGCTTGGGCTTATCTTGGTGATTTATGACGAATGTTTTGTGTCCTGCTTTGCTTTCCACTTTGCACGCTCACATCAAAGCCATGTATTTTGCTACCAAATTACTGCTCCTTTCTGGGTTACCTTGTGCCTTGTAAAGAGCACATCAGCCAGCTCCTACATCTTATTTGTTAGTAACAAAAGAGGAAGAATAAGCTAAGAAGGTAAATATTTAAATTTGGGGTTGGCCAGAAGCGGGATGTATGGGTGTAATGAACCTATATGTTTTTTTTCTTTTACTATAAGTGAAGTTTTGACATTGCAGATATACTACTGTCTTTTACATGGTCATTCTTTTTGTCATACAGGACACGTTTACATTTTTGCTGTTTAAGAACTTATCTTAGAGTTAAACTGGTAGCAGCTTGTTCTGGTGCTGGCACAGCTGTGCACATCTCCCTTGTCACCTTAATTCACTGAGGACACTTAAGAGTTAAAGGATATTTAATGTGCCTCTTAATAGACATTGTCAAATATATGGAAAAATTTCAACATAATTGTCCTAGGCTCTAGTGATTTCATTTGTGAATGAAGACGTCCTGGGAACCTATAGCTATTTTGATTTTTGCAGCCTTAGTGCCTAGTGCTTATGCGAGAGACTAGTGATTTCTTCCCTGTACCCTGCTTATTGTTGAAAAGCCAGAGCTATTTTTAACATTCACACAATTTTGAAAGACGATTCTTCATTCCACAACGTTTGTTGCTAAATCTGTGGAGCCTTTCATAATTACATCCTTTTTGTGGTTTGCTTGAATTTGATCACAGTGGCTGATTTCATGCATTGATAATGAAGGCTTAGGTTGCCTGTTTCTCGGCACAAATCCACCTCCGACTCGTACGTTGACAGTGCTGCTGGTTTCAGCACGCGTAGAGATCCAGATTGAAACTGCTCTGCTTTCTTAACAAATGACTCAGAGCGTGTTCGTCCTTCCCTAAGATGCTGCCAGCGTGTAAAGGATTTTCAATGAGAGTGAACTAAGCCAGCCACGGGAAGGTTCTGAGCGGCACTGATGTGGTGTGGGGCTGTCACGGATAATCAGGCTGGAGCCAAGTCCCGGTAGCACCGTACATCACGCTGGCTGCATCCTGGAAGTTTTGTTTATCCAACTTGGTTGCTGGTGAAGCTGCTGAAATCCCTGCCAGGATGTGGAGTGGACTTCCCAGCAGAGGTGAGCATCTTTATTCTAAAACTTGGGTGCTGGGGTCTGGGATGCCAGTAACAGATTCTTTTAACCGTTGTTTTGAATCCTGTGGAGTCATCACTGGTGATTATTATATTGGGCTGGCACTTCTGAAGGGGAAAATTAAAGAGCAAATAGAGCAGCCTTTAATTTTATTGGGAAGTAACTCTCTTAAATGGGTGTGATAAGCATTCTTTTTTTCCTGTACTAGCTGTGTGCCGGGGACATCTTACCAGCAGGTGACTTCCTCTGCATTTTAAACATTCAGAACAAGTCAGTGATATGCGATTTGCTATCATTACCGAAAGTAGGCAATTAGCAGTGTTATTATGTGTTTCAGGTATATAAAAAAAAAAGGCTATAAACCAAATACGTTCTGCAGAATCTTTGACATGAAAAATATGTAGGAGGAAACAAATCATGTTTACAAGGTAGCTGAGAAAGTGAGAGCAACGGCTTGCATACTGGAGATGACACCTTGTTAAGCTTGACATTATTAATAATTAAAAGTTATGACCTGTCATGCAGTGGACAGCATGCAATAATTGGTTTCTAGTGACGGTACGCTGACCAAGAGGGGAAAATGAACAGTATTTCTTTATGGAGCATGCATGGACTAGATATGATATTTTAATGTAACATATTTTATCATTTAAAATGTAACTTTCCCTGGCACTCACCTGGGAAAGTTAAATGACCAGACAATCATGCTCAGAACAGTCTGATATAGCATTTCAAGTATGGGGCACTGGAAAGCCAATAAGATAAGGGCAGGATCAAAGTCAGCCTCCTGCTAGAGATCCTATTGCTTGGGTTCTGCTCTACTGTAAGTTTTTGTGATCAGAGCTGTTTCTGTATAAGCAAGGGAGCATGCATGTTGTAATGTATTCAGATAGCATTATGCTTATTATGCATTGGGTATGTTAGGAGCACAGAGAAATCTGTTCCTATTGATTGGAGGCTAACATGGCACATGGGATTTGAGCATATATGTGAGTGTGCTTTTCTTGCTAAATGTACTTGAGGCTGCTGTTTCTAGTTTCCAGCTTTAAAGTTATAGATGAGTGCTTCTTCAAAGACTCGGGAAGCCTGTTCATTGCCACCATATGTAAAGCTTGGCTAAGCAGTCACATCAGGAGCAAACCATTTGTGTTCACCAATCTATCTCGGCAAGTCCCAGGGCCACTATCTCGCTAGAAGCCACTGTGTGTTTTTAAAGGCATGAAATGAGTTTTATACCAAGCACATGGTTTCTCATTTAGCAGCTCTTTTTTATGGTACTGGTCAACTGATGGTCTACTACCAGGATTTTGGTGTTCTGCCAAAGCTGATTGTGTGTGCTAATGTGTCTGTAAAATTAAGAAAAGGAAGAAGAAGAGGAAGAAGAAGGAGAAGACAGGTCGGGGGGGGGGGGCATTGAGACCTTCAAGAAGACAAGCTTACTTTTGCTTTGGAGCCATTGCTATTTTTCCAAAGTTTTTTTTTTTATGCTGTTTTATCCAAGACACACAGGTTAGAAGCTGACATGGTCCAGCCCTGGACTTTCTCTGGGATGAGACATCAAGAGAGCTGTGTTCTGTAGTGTACAGTATCTGTCCCCCTCATTGCAATGCATATGTAGAAACAACTCTACTGGGCCTGACTGTGTTTTGCAGTTCATCATGACACTCCCCTGCTTCTCTGCTAATGCATGCCAAAGCCTTGTTACAGGCTGTCGGAAGCATTTGCACATCTCACATTTTATGTAAACAACCAATACTTGGTTATATGTGTACATACTCAGAGCAGGGTGAGTTCAGGCATCCACTTGAAACTGTCCGAAGAGACATTAAAATTTTTGAAAAAATCGCTTCTGTCATGAAAAGACCTAATCTTGAAATTTCAAAAACAATTTTTGTTTGCTTTCATGAATGTCAGTAGATGAAATGAATGTGCCGTCCTTGGGCTTTTCTTTCCATCAGAAGGTAATACTTGTTGAGAGATTTTTGAATCAGAGGTGACTCAAACTACCAAGATATTTAAGGAAACAATGTGTTCTTGTTATTGTTCTTAGTAATAAAAATAATGATTTTCTTAGAGTGTTTGTTTTCTGCATAGTGTAGCAGGCATGCAGGTGGACTGAGATGTATGTATTGAAATGTTGATAATATGTTGCTTTCCTCTTGTGTGGTCTGAAAGCCCCCTTGAAACCTTTAATTCCATCATCTTTTCCTTCTTTTAATTTAATTCTTGGATCTTTGCCTAACTTAAGTGATTACATGCAATTAAAGATTCAAGATAAGTCATCTCTCCAGATGGCTCTGCAGTTAGGACTATGTACTGCTGTGGCCGAGGACCTGAGTTCAGTTTGAAGCACCCATGTTAGGTAGCTCACAACTGCTGACAACTCTAGTTCCTGACAATCTTCCGTGTCTGCCATCTATGGACACCTGTGCAGTCTTCATACAGACACACACAGACACACATGCACATATATACACACACACAGACACACACACAGACACACACACACAGACACATCAGAGAGAGAGAGAGAGAGAGAGAGAGAGAGAGAGAGAGAGAGAGAGATCTAAAAAGTAATTTAATATAAAAATGTTATTGTTGAAATACCAGGATATAATACATGCCATTTTTATCAGAAGGCAATGTGGTTTTAGATGAAGCATAATTGTAAAGACCTTTCATTCTTTCGGGAGTCTTCAGACATCATCCCATTGTACGGTGGACTTTGTTTTAGAAATAACTCACATTTATCACTCCAAAGCCCAGGAAACTAATTGTGTTTGTGCATTGAGAATTAGAAGGTTGTCAGATACTGACATTTTCTCTTAAAATTCTAGATGATGCTATGTGTTTACTCAATGAAAGCCTTTAGAAAATCTGTAGTATGTCAGAATTCTCTAGAATAGTGGAATTTGTCATATTATACACGGTGAAGAAAATCCACTCGAGAGAAGCAGGAGCTAACTTGTCATATCTGCCTCAATCTCACCAGCAATTTCTCTTTATAAGTAATAGAATTTGGGGTATCCTGAGGAAGTGATCTGCTGACAGCTCTTACTTTTATATCAAAGGTCAACAATCTGGACTGATTTTTAAAAGCGATTACTTCTGTAATGTAGCCCAGGGGGGTAAAGTTTATTTAATTGAGAACATGACTAGTTTTTAGGACCTTCCCACTTCCCAATGGTCTGGATAATTGATGGAGTCTACAATTTGTTTTGAGGTGTGTTGCTGAGGTAGATGTGGATTAATGAGAGTGTACATCTCTGGCCTCAATGTTCAGTCTTTTCATTGACCTTTTTTTTTCCTTACTTCCCACTAATGAACTAGGAAGATCTTGCTTTCAGCTACTACATTTAGCAAGTAAAAACACACAGGACTTCTAGTTAAACTTTAAATTTAGCTAAAAAGAATAGTAATAATTTTAACTATTATCATGTTACATGTATCGTTTGCGTCCTGGGTATTCTCAAATTGGTTGTTGTTTGGCTAACTCCAAGTTTGGCTAGTTGTCCTGTACTAGTCAAGCCTCCCTACCTGCTTTCCCAATAAGAGACTGTCTCTAGGTGACAGCCTATGAAATCAGTTCTTATAAAAGCCAACACAGAGGCTTTCTGTTTCTGCAAAAGCAATCCATTTCTGCTTTTGGATTTGATGCCTAAACATGCCTGCTGTTAAGTTACCATTTCAGAAACTTAAAATGGGTAAAAATAGTGTGCAGAATGGAAATAATGAGTATGTGAAAGCTTCCTATAATTACTAAGATAAATCAATAACAGCAGAACAATAAATAATAGCTGCCAGCAACATTTCAAATAAACGAGGATTATACAATTAGCTTCCAATTGTTATCCCTTGTCAGAACATTTTCAAGACTTCATCAGATTTGAAATATTTATAAATTAGCTTTCCTTGGTTGTACTGAGTATGCTTAATGGAAGTTTTCTCCCATAGTTCCCTCTGCTCTACCACTCCATCTGTCTCTTATTTATATGTTTTTTTTTTTTCTTACTAATCTTGGGACTCATTGTTTGGCTCCCCCATGGCTTTCTTTGAAAGGCCAAGAGGCTTATGGGCTTTACTTGGCAGAGAAACTTGAACTCACCATAGCAAGGTAAAATAGGAGAGAGTATTTGTGTCCACTATGCCTACTCTGTGATGGCAGAATGTTTTGGCAGATTAGTATTGGATTATTGCAAAAACTTTATAACATTTATATGTACTTGTGCATATGCTTATCTGCTAACCCAAACCCTACCCTTACCCTGAGCTATCTCAATTTTCACCCCAGTAGAACTCATCAAGAGCATTGTGCCTTGGCTGTCTTTGCTGGAGAATAAAGGCCCTGTTCTGAGACTCCTCCTTCTGAGACTCCTCCTTCCACATAAGGACTTACTGAGAACTCTGTTCCCTGAACCTCTGAGTTGCCTTCCTGTTTTCTCTTCTCTCATGTTCTCATACCCAACCCCCATCTTTTTGTAAATAGTCCCAACAGGAGTAAATATATACCAATGTATAACTTAATCCCCAAAGCCTGAAAAAAAAAACCCAAGTGGAATGAATTTCATGAACTGTGATAGTTTTGTTTTGTTTGTCAGGATACCTAATAATTGATCAGTGATTTAGGGAGAGAAGATGTGTGGGACTTACTTTAACCTTTCTGTTTCTGGTTAAAGCCTACCTCAGTTTTCCCTGTGTCAGTCACGTGATGTGTCAGACCAAGAATCCCATTTCTTGTTAATGGTAAGAGCAGTTGACCTGAGTTTTTAAAATGAAACAAAGTATTGTTGAGTCAATGGTCTCTGTTTTTGACTTAAATGTTTCCCATCAACCATAACTTTATTCTTCCATATCTTGTAACATGGAGAGACACATTTTTATTACCCTATTTACTCATGTCTATTAACAATATGTACTTCTTTCAGTCTGCTTACTTTTATTTCCAAGTATAAATATATTTTTGCTTTCCCCATTAACCTGTTTTT